TTTACCACAATAAAAGTAGCAATATCAGTGCAGGTACAGCGTGTTAAAGAAAAGCCTGAATTTTATGGGACTAATCCCGTGTTGGAAAACTATTTGGCAATACATTCTGAGGAGAACTCATCTGACATCAGTGAAAGCAACAATTTGACAGCAGTAGAGGAATAGACCCTTAGATTTTTGTATCCCATAATGCCTCTACAGAGAGGAGAAAATGGTCAATAGACATTTCCATAAGGTGCTTTCTTCTTTTGCAGAAAGTTTTACTTTCTTTTGCGACATGTGTCTCTCCTGTCATAAAGAAAGGAAATCCTGAAAAGTGTGAGTCTCTGTTAGGTAATTACTTTCAAATCAATAGGAGAGATCTGAAGGCTAGAACAGGGCTGGTGGAAAATGCAAAATGATTTTTACTTAACAAAGAAGTGTGAATGAATGAATGTGTGACAATAAGAATAGTCAGACAAGGACAGGGAAGGCATTACAGCCTGATAAAGGCAGAACAATCCATCACAACAATAGTATCTTTAATTCTCGTTAATGCTGTGCTGTAGTGTTTGAATTATATTTTGATTTTGTTATCTCTTCATATGTAAAACTAAGGTGTTTTAGCTGCCTAGGAAAACAACATACAAGCGCATTTAAACCTTTTGACCCAACTAAGCAATGTAAAGAAGAGACTGGGACCTCTTATTGCAAAGTATAACTGGAACTTCTTGGACTTTAGGGCTAGTTATGTCTAGAAACATCTACATGGTATCTAGAGTTTTTGCAGAATTGAATTTTTTAGGTGAAGGATGAACTTATAAGTAGCTCACAGAAGCTAATAAATTATTTATAGGTGTTTTGATAGTTAATCAGTTATTTTAGACTGTTACATAAGAGGCTGCTTATAACCATCAAAGCCACTTCAGTTTGGTTGTGTTTATTCACACTTCAGTATCAGCGTGTTGCAGCTATGCTAACATCTGTTAATGATTTATTAACCTGATAGAAACTGTCTGTAAATGCAAGCTTTGTGCAAAGTGAGACCATTACTTCTCTTATTTCTGTTTTCCTTCTCCTACTGAGAGAGGTCTAGTTGAGGCAGCTGGCACAGCTGATGGGGAAGAAGCAGTGTTTTTTCTATGTTCTACACTGAGTTTAGAGCTAAGAGGAGGACTGGATTTTTTTGTCTTGTCAGTAACTTAATCCTTTGTGGTTTTACTGTTCCTGAAATAATAATGGCAGTCTGAAGCCAAAGGAAAGCCCTTCTCAATTTTCAGGAAAGCACAAGGATGAAGTAACCTTGGTCTTTCCTAAGCTAGTGAGCAAACGTCTTCTGTGGTTGACTTTCCCCAGCTGGGAGAGCAGAAACTTCTCCCACAAATAAAACTCCATTCTGGAAGTTACAATGATACTCTGCACCAGAGTCCATAATGAAGATCTGGTGCACTAGTATTGGCCAAGGGAAGACAAGCCAAGGAGATGAGCCATTGATTTTCTGTGTGGAATTTGCCAAAGCAAAATTAATTCTCAGTTCCAGTGGGAATCTGCCCTTTCTAAACTTAGAATTCATAACAAACCCTGTAAAAATTATATAAGCCTTCTTTTAACTCCTTCCCTCCTCCTCTGCAATCTAATGAATAAAATGTCATCGTGTATGCAAAACAAGGCTACTATTCAGGAGCAGAACGATACTCTAGCATCAGTAATGGGGCAGGAGACTTTTCCAGGTTCTTCCTTTCCTTATCTCACTTAGAAAAGAAAAAAAACCCTGACTACTTATGTTGACTTCCATGGGACTATATTGGTGTTAGATTTACAGAGCTGATCTTTAATGGGTAAGCAGTCTGTCCTTATTACAGTGGGGAAAAACAAGTGAAATACTGAGTTATGTGAGGGCAGAATCTGGACCAGTTCATACTGAGAGCGAAAAAAGTTATTTTTAAACAAACAAACCAATATAGACACGCTATTTGGAAGGAGGAGGGGTTTTTTGGTTTTAGTTCTCAGTATGCTTGACCTTCAAAAGGACATGTGACAATGCAATTCAGAGGTGTGCTGCCTACAAGCTCAGCTCCTTGTTGTGCTTGTGCTGCTAAGAAAAGTGAAAACAATGAAACAGACACTTTGAGTTCCCAATGAGAAAAAAGGAAACTGGAAGCCTTTTCTTGCTTTATTGTTAAATATCTCTATTTAAATGCAAATGATCATCTGACACTGCCAAAGTCATGTACGAGGAAGCAGGCATGCAAGTTAAAAAAAAAAATTTAAATTATTTTTGAAGATGCTGGATCGCTTTTATTTCCATGAGGAGTAGAGGTGGCTGAATACATTTGTGGTTGCGTACCAAGGATCAGCTCAGCACCTAGGAGTTTCAAATATGAAGATTTCTGTTTGAAGTGTAGCTTTTGCAGAAGTGTGGGCGGACTCTCTGGTTAGAGATCACTTGGAGGGATGCTGGAAGTTTCTTCTTTGTTATATCACTGCACGTATTGCAGTGGAAAACCCAGTGCATACAGTATATTTTGGAAGGGGGTAGAATATGGGGACAGACAGAGGAAGAAGCAGCCGAACTCTTGCCTTATTCTGCCTCAGGAATATGTGATTACAAGTGATCTGTGCAGTGCTTTATACTGCGTCTATACCTGCAAGGCTTCTGGCTTTCTCCCTAAACTCCAGACCCCTTAAGCTAGACAGGCATGAGATTTGACCATCAGGAAGGATCGAGCATAGAGTCGAGTCTTGCAAGAGGAGACTCTGTTGTCCATGGGTTGCAGTTCCTCCTGAGCTGCCCCCAGCATGAATGCTCTGGCTCAGGTGAGGATCAAGCAAAGCAAGTGGTGAAAAGGTAATCTGAATGTGCACCCAGAGCCATACCCCTTTTTCTTCCCACTCCTTCTGTTGGCCAGGGATAGCCACTTTATAAAACCTACTTCCTGGGGACCATTTATTCAGTTGAGCCAGCACTAAAATCAACAAACTAACTATATCTTATTGAGCTGCCTCTGTTAAAATTCTTCCTTTAATTTTCTGTTTACCTCACCTTCTTTTAAAACTTCCATTCTTATAAATCAATATGGATGTATTTGCTTTCTGCACAGAATTTCAGTAGTCTCTTAATAATCATAATAATCATTATTACTGATTAAAGTTGCATTATTCGTGCCAGATGGAGTCCCCTCCGTGTCAGCCAGAATGAGTTTGCATTAGGTAGTTATAGTACATTTGTGATCTAAATAAACAGATGGCAGAATGTGACAGCAAATTATGTGCTGGTGATGTCAGCAACAACGCTTACCAAGTATAATTGCTTTAAATGAACATGAATGCAGCAAGGAGCTGGTAGTTTTAACAAGGTAGTTGGCATACAGCATGGTAATTACCATACAGCATCATCAATAGCACCATGAATGCGCTGTGAGTGCTGAGGGAAGAACGCTAGCTTTGAAAAAGTAGTGACAGAAAGTCCGACTTTACACGACCGTCACAGTGGGTTTGCTCAGCTGTGTAATGTCTCATAGGTATAAGCACACTGTTAGCAAAGGAGCAGTATTTTCTCTTGGGGGGATCTGACTTTAGCTGAGAGACATTTTGCACTTTCACCAACGCTATCTCCCATCAGGGTATGTGAGAAGTATTTGATTTAGTGTAATGGAGCAGTGTTAACAGCAGCTGCTGTTGATACAAGATTGAAAGGTAAACTTCTGGATCGGGTTCAAAGGGGAAATTGGCTTAATAGGATCTCAGCAGTATTCAGTGATGAGTAAAAGTTTAATCAAAGACCAGGTTAGGTTCCTGTGGTCAAAAAAGCAGCAATAAGGACTGTGCATAGTCTTCAACAATGTTTATGTTGTGTTTCTCAGTTCATCCCTTCAAGTCTGGCTGGATCTAAAGGGGGCTTAGTTGCTTACACCTCAGGCACTGCCACACCTGGGTTTTAGCAGCTTGGGATGAGGGTGCAGTAAGGCAGGTTCTCCAGGTGTGCTCTGGGACCATTTGGCATTCAGGGAGGAGAAGCACTGAGAGCAGGAGTGTGACTAAGCTCTGGCTTCGTCTGGGTGGGAGCTGTGGAATGAGGTCTCCATTGACTCTCAGTCAGGACTGGCATGGGACTGTCTGAGTGTCTTCTCAAATAATGTAAAATGAAGCAAGAGGAGAATGTGCCAGTTGTTCTGCCTGTTTTCTGTTTCCTCACACAGTGGTTAGCATTTAGCTATGAAATGGAAGATGTGATCTCAACTCCCTCTTTAGTCCAGAGGGGTTTCAGTCACTAATTATTACATAGTTTATAAAAGCTACCATTGCTAACTCTTCCTCCTCCATCTGTATTTTACAATGAAAGCACCTACAGTTCCTTTTCTCGAAGGGCTAAACCTGTCAGCATGTGGAAGGATGATGTAGAACATCATCTCTAGGTTTTGAAGGAACACAAAGATCCTTCAGAAGCACAACCACAAGCAATTGAGAACCACCAGCCAGAAAAGAAAAGTCCCGTGAGCTTAGCTGTTGCTGGGGTTAAGTGGTTGCAGAGGACACATTTCCTTTTCTGTGGTATCAGACATGAAGTTTATGCAAGCTTTTGGGGGAGAGAGAGGGGTTGCTTTTAATCAGAGTCACTGAGTGTGTCAGCCCATTGTTCAGATGAAACTGAACATGAGATAGATACATATCCTCTCTAGCACAGCCATCTCTTCTGTGGAAAGAACACAGAGAGCAATAATAATAGCACCGGGTGATGAAATTGTTCCTCAGTCCTCCGGACTTGTTCGTCTGTTTTTTTGTTTTAAAATGCCCCAGTCATTATACATAGCAGAGAGGTATTTAGGGTATAAAGCACTTGGATAAGTAGTCATATTTCATGTATGTTTGACACCAATCCTGGTTATTTGTCTGGGCCTTTTTTACAGGCAGTGTGTTTCAACCTCCAAAGACAAGGCATACCCTCCTCTTCAGCAGTTGCTGGATGTTGAAGAAATGGAAGGAAGCCACATTTCTAATCTCTCTTTCTGTCTGACCTGCAGGTGGTCGATGCCACAAGTCCTGCACAGGCCGATGCTGGGGACCCACAGAGAATCACTGCCAGACCTGTAAGTATGCAAGACTCTGAGAAAGAAAGGGCTGAAAAATAATGTAAAAGGGATACTACTTTTTTAAAAAATTGTGAAGGCATACTACAAATTCTGGTTTTAGTACAATTCTGAAGTATTTGAATTTTTTTTTCTGTATGTTTTTACCAACAGATCTGCATTTTTTTCTGTCCATGTGAATTTATGGTTTTTTTTTCCTCCCCTGTGCTTTCCAAAAACGCTTAAGCACACTTGAATTTTCTTTTCACTCCTTGGCGGCAACATGGAGTATGGCTCCTGAGAATATTGATGGCTATTTTGGAATACACTGAAATGGATACTGCAGGAATAGAAAAAACCTGCTAAGCAGATTTGGAGATCTTTAATGATGGCCTGACACTGCAGAGTTCCTAATGTCAAAATACTCTTAATTCCAGTGGAAGCCTAGGAATATTAGTTATCTTGCAGAATTGTTCTCTTTATAATAACTTCAGAATGTATTTGAGTTGTACTGAAAGAAAGAGTAATAGTTTTTTTTTTGTGAAAGAAGTAGTAAGTGAAGGGTTTTTCACAATGTCTATCTGTCCTCTTGAATTTAGAGAGCATTAAAATGAGTAAAAAGGAACTATATTCAGAGAGTTTCTTCCTTGTGTGATTTCAGCTCCTTCAGATAGGTGCTAAAGAGCTAGAAGTGCCGTCACAATATTAGCAAATATAAAAGAGGAGAAAATTGAGAGATGTTTTTTCTTTTTTTCCCCTTACAGGAATAGAGCTATCCTTTACATTTCCTTTCTTTTAAACTTATGAGGGTGGAAATCGGTTGCGTTTACCGGAGTCGCTCTTCCTAGGAAATGAAATGAATGCTCATACCTCCCCCAGAGAGCACCGCTCTAGCTTGTTCTTGTTTCCTTGGCTGAGTTGTAGATAGGAGGAAAGGGACTGTGACAAATTAACCTCTATCAAACGAGCACACCAACTAACTCTCTCAACTGATGATAGCCCAATGTCATCTGTCTTTTTTTTTTTTTTTTTTAACATTAGGAACAGCACAACTATGCTTTTTTTTTTGACTACTCGGAGCGAGAGATAAGAGGAAATTAGAAATGGTGGACGGACAGGTTGGCATGAACGTTTTATGAGTGAGCACAAGCAGGAAATAGAAGCAGACCTGCTGTCTGGTGCTGCTTTTTGGTCAGGAGTATCAGCTGATGTAGCTGGAAAAGCTGGTGACAGTTACAGCTCCGCTAAAGTTAACATGTTCTTATATTCATATTGAGCTTTATCTGTGGGTATGTTTAAAAACGGTTTAGTATAGGTTGTAGGAATAACTGTATAGCAAACCAAGTACAGTGACGCTAAGCAGATTCTTCTTTATCTGAATCAAGCCGGTAAGTCTCCTTCCTTTGCTGGCAGTCTTTATGAAAGCCTCAAAGATGTCAGTGCTGAGAAAGCCTCCTTACATCAAGGTTATGTGCTGAAGTAGATAATTGAAAGGGACTTAAACCTTAGCTGACCAAATTATTTTATATCATGATTAGAATTGATTAACGCTTGTTCTTTCTCTGTCCTGATGAGAGGCCTGTTTGTCTGTTAAAACTAGTAACTCTGTAGGAACCTGGGTAATTCATCCCAACTTGAATACACTTATTCAGGCCTTATGTGGTTAGCTTATCCAAGAACACTGTAAAACCTTGGCAGTTATACAAGGATGATAAGATCCTGCCTAAGGCCTTGGCTCCAGCAAGCAGAGGCTCCAGCCTTAGGTAGAGTCAGAAAGGCCAGCTAGACTCTGTGTGGCTGCAGAAGTCCATGTGGCAGGATCAGCTCCTATGGTCTCAACCTCTACAAAGCACTGCTCTCAGATAAGTGAACTGATTTGGTGGATTAATGTAGTAATACCAGAGAGAGCAAAACTTATCTGCAGTGTTGTGAAGTCAGTAGCTTAGCAGAGCTGCATGGTAGGCTTGCTCCAGGAGTGACAGCTATCTCTCTCTTCACAGTGACTGCCCTCTCAAATCCGAACAGTGGGGACAGGCCAAAGGCACAACCGTGGATTTAAAATAATAAACTCTGGAAAGACATATGCCATCTAGGTTCCAGAGAGATACACAGGTCAAACATTTCTAATTTGAAATAGCTGCTCTACAACCTTTTACCTTCAAGCACACTTGCAGTCTCTGATTGTCAGGGACAGGAGTTAATTTTTATGACATGCTTCCTCTTTGCCTCCCTGATCTCACTTCACCTTGGTTAAACATCAGGATTTAAGCAGAAGTCTGAATATTAGGCTGGTAATGGGCATTTCTTCATTGCACTTTCTCAAAATGTGTTTTTCTGCAACTGTTTGAAGGAAACAATACAAGTAGAGACTCAAACCATAAAAATACAAGTGGTGCTGTGCTTTTGCTGCCTTAATTTCTGACTTTAAAAAACATTCTGGGCTTTCAAGCTCATAAATGTTGTTGTTAGATATAAGCCGGAGATAGGATGAATGGTATCACAAATGCAGCGTATACCTTAACCTGATCACCTTGGGGATGCACGTCTTTCAAACCCATGTAGGAAAACACTTCAGCAGCACTACATCCCAGTGTCAAACTGTTCTGATCCTAGAAACAACTCAGATGCATGTGTGCATTTTTTTTTTTTTATGGAGTCACTGAAGCAAAAAATTCTAATGAGCTCCCCTCCCAAGATAAGATTTAAATTATTTTTCTGGGAAAGGATAAAAAATGAAAGATCTTAATCCATGTCTTTCATTTCAAATTACAAATGGAAAAAAATCAAAATCCTTTTGTTTTTTTGCATGAGTATCATCTAACTAGCTTCTTATTATGTTGCCTTCCAGCAGTCTCTCTATACTTCTAACTCTATCTGAAACACCACCTGCATCTAACACTGTCCTAATGTCTCTCTAAATGTGACAAGAAAACTTACATATTTAAGAAGACAATTAATAGGAAATTTAAAGTAAGCTCTTCTATTAGGAGGTAGAGAAGATATAATTTCAGGGTACTGTTTTATGCAGTTAACAATCCATTTTTTCTTTTATAATTAAAATATTAGTAAATATTAATATTGAACATTTAAAAGCTAGATGGTATTCTTTGTTTCCGTGTCAGGAAAGGCTAATGTGGAAATACTTTTAAAAGAGAATCTCTTTATCAAAGAGTATTGGGCAACCACTAAATAGAATGTAAACCGCTTTAAAAAAATGCAAGAACAAACACTTTTGGAAGTTACTAATCAGATTTGAAACTCTAGTTAGATTGTTACTATATTTGCTGTTGATGTCTGTTAAGAGTTTTGGGGGTTTATTTAACTTTTTGCATGGAAAGTAAGTGAAACTTTTACAAATTGAATCCGTTATTTTATTACAAATGACAGATTATGCACTTTGTCCTAGAGGAACGTAACTGAAACAAAAGAGAAAAATCTAAATTAAAATATAGACCAAATTAAGGGAATGCAAAAAGGCAAATAGCCTTTAAATCAAACGTGAAGCATAAACATTCAGCAAACGTGAAATGCTCCATGGCTGTGTATGTGTACAGGAGTTTGGCCTGAGCATAATTGTATTTATACAGTCTGTGCAGCTGATGTTGGTGAGAAAAAGAAGGTGCCGATGCAGTAAGTACCCAATTAGAGCAGCAAAAGGCAAGTGGGAGCCTGGTGGGGAAGACAGAAAGAGCTGAACCAGCAGCTTAAATCAGGGTAACCCAGCATTTTTGCTTGGAGCCAGCATCTTTAATTAAAATCCTTGTATTTCTCTAATAACTTTGCATGTTCATAAGACTTTTTCATTGATTTCAGTTACTTCCCATTTTTTCCATCATGGATTTATAGTGCCCTGACATAATTAAAGATTAAGGGAAACAGTAAGAGAGACTGATTAATTGCACACATATGAAGTGCCCATTCCACCCTGTCCCCAATGCACCTTACTGCTGTACCACAGTGAAATACTAGTAGAGATTGACAGTCAGTGTTCTGCACTCCCCCAGAAATCCATCCCAACACATGATACATTTTTTCAAGACCTTGGTGTCCTGGCCTCAACTGTTATAGTTCTGTGCAGCCAAACCCTCAAATTTCTTGGGGTCCCACAAAAGTTCAGTAGGCGCCAGGGTGGGTAGTTGTGCTGACCCTCTAAAAGCTGGTTTGAAACTTGGGACCTCAGCTTGTGATTAGTGAAGGGTCTTCTCACAGTTATGCTGGGTGAAGAAATGAGTAGCTGGCACCTAAGATTTCTGTGGAGTATCATCTCAGAGCTCCTGGATCTCACATGTGTGTCTGAGCTGCAAGAAGGACATGATGTGAGGGCTCCTGATCACCCCTATCTGCCAGCTGCCCTGTGAGCAGTCTCCACACTAGGTAGCAGGAGGAGGTCTGTGTTACTCCACTCTTCTCTCTCAGCTTTCAGCAGGGTAGCTCTTGGTTGACATTAAGCTGCTCCCCAGTTCCCTACCATCTGTCCCCATCCACCATCTTGAGCCACATGTCCCCTCGAGGAATCACCCACCACTGATCATCAACCAGAACATACAGTTTGGTATCTTGGGCAATATTTACCCTTACTTTTAATTATTTCGGATAGGACTTGAATCCAAGCTATAAAAGCAGTGGATTGCATTTGGAGGAAAGTTTTTGGGGAAAAAGCTTGCTATCTTTTTAAACCAGTGCAGCTAGGTACATTTTCTGTAAGGTTACTCCATGATAATGATTGTGGGAAGCTGAACTGATGAGTTACCTTTACTGGAATCTGAACAATCAGATTGTTTTGGGACTTCGAATGATACAAAGTATTGCCTTGTGTTTGTTTTGCTATGGGGAAAACCCTTCATTTTAGACTGTCTTGAATATGAGTCCTTAAAAACATTCAGAGCTCACTAAGTTCTTGTCTGTCTTGGTGTGTGGTGCCACTGAAGATATTCAACAGATCCTCCTCAGAGCTGCACCATCAATAATAGTTGTAATGCAAATACAGCATGCAGTGAACCAGAAGATAAATAGGGTGTGTTGTGGCCTTTTCCTAGAATGAAATGTTGGCATTTCTGTTGGCATTGTTTACTTCCTCAGTAAAATAAACAATTAGGGAAGAACAGTGACAAACATTTGCTGTAATTGTAAATTTTGCAAACCACTTTGTAACTTCCTAGTCTTGAGGAAAATTCAAAATGTTCCTACCATGAACAGCATGGTAGAGGCCCTCACTAAGCTGGTGCCTAATCATAAACAGATTATGCTTTTGGGAGGCACTCTGTTTAAGTATTGTGCTGAAAAGGGGGACATATCCCTCCAGGTCAGCCCTGGTGCAGGGAGTGCTCTTGCACTTTTTTTTTTTTTTTTTTTTTAAAGGAAACATACTCTGGAATCAATTCTTGTAATCTCTTAAAAAGTTAGGGAGTTTATCTGTAACTTCATACACTGCACAAGCCTTACGGTGGGGCTCTAGACAAAGGTAAATAATTTAGATAATTTTGTCATAGCCTAATAGTGTGAAAACTGCTGAAAAGATGTCAGTAAATTGCTTAAATCCATTGCTCTTGTTGAGCTCGTTCCCCACCACTGTTTAAGCTACGCAGCCTAGGGAAGCACTATTATCTGCAGCTCAGCTTGAAAGAAGTGTGTAATCCTGCAAATACAGATCTTGGCTCTCTAAAAGTAACAACTCCCGAGTTGATGAGAAGACTGTGCCTTTTCTAAACATGCCAACGGGTGGTAGGTGGGGTTGTGGTCATGGACACCAGGCACAGGAAAGGCAGATCCCTCCTCCCCTTGAGGCAGCGGATTCACCTCCCAAGGGCTTGGTTTTGGGGAGGCAGCAGTGGAGGATTCCCAGTACCTTTTGCAGCCGATGAGATGAGGAATACTGCTGGGCCTTGCCCTCTTTGCCCTTTCAGAAGTCTGCCAGGAAACCTCCTGCAGGGGGAAGCAATGTTTATATAGTCATGGTGGACATCTTGACCTGCTCCCAACAACAGCTGGCACTGAGGTAAACACATTAAAACAGAGCTAATAAGGTGGCTTCTACTAATTGTCCACACAGAGGTGCTTTACACCAAAACTGAGCAAAATGTTGAATTCCTGTGGAGCAACAGCAAGGAATGCTTTTTAACAGCACCCTGCTGGTGAGCAACCACAGTGTGCTATCATCTCATCTTCTCTTTTTCTGTTGTAACACTGTTGATTGTATCCTTGGCTCTCTGATTCTAGTGCAATTAAAAAAATGTTAAAAAAAAAAAAAAAAAAGATAAAAAGGAAATGTGCTGCTGGTGTGCTATAACTTTTTAGGCTGTGATAGGTGGAGTGGGGCTGGTGAAGGGAACCTGGTGCCCTCTGCCTGTGGAATCCTTCTAGAAGGGGGCACTGAACATGCTCAGTGGGGAGGGGCAGCTATTTTGGTGCCCCCGTTCTGCCGCCATACAGAGTGGTTCGGTGCCTGGCCTCAGCGCCTGTCCTGCCACTGGCAGTGATAACACCAGCCAGAGGGGCAGAAAGTGGTGGCAGAGGAGAGGCCATTTTAAAAAATGAGGTAAGCACCGTCACGAATGGTCACTGTGTAAAAGGGAAGCAGAGCATTAAGATGGGTCCGCCTTGGCTCAGGGGCCAGCTCCTTCTTTGAGGAGTGACATGGGTAAACACAGAGAAATTGGGTCCTGGGACAGGATGAAATGAACGTCCTCCATTTCTGTGGCCCCCCACAGGGCGGAGGGGGAGCCTCTGGCAAGTAGGGTCCTCCATCAAGTAAGGATAAATCTGGGCCTTGCCTCCCTTTGAGGTCAGAGCAGATAGTGCCCAGTCCAGTGCAAATCAAGGCACTATGGACCAATTTCTGAACTGGCAGAAAACAGTATTCAGCTACTGACTGACTAAAGGAGGTCTTCATTTGTTTTCATGAGATCGCACTCTGTCCCTCTCAGCTACCGGTGTGGTGGTGGTATACTGTGACGTGTGTTTTGCTTAACATATGCCATTGTTTTATATCTCTATCCTAATGTTTATCAATATTTAAACAAATCCTGTTTCTTTAGCAGTGTTGACAGCAAGTGCGCTTACAGAAATTTCCCTTGTTTCCTAAATTAGATTGCATAAGGCACAGAAGTATTTTCTGTCAGAGGGTTTGCCTCTGTTACCAGCAAGAAGGAATTATTCTAAAATTCATCACTTTATTCCATAGATTATAAATCATGACTTCTCTTTGGTTATTTATATTTTTCTATCCTAAATAAATACTGTGTATATCAAGAAGCTTTGGCATTACCTTAAGTATTTCAGGCAAGTAGTGGAGGGAATTTGGATTGGAAAGTGCTTATAAAGAAAGGAGTTACCAATACATTAAATAGTAGAATTGTGCAGAAAGTTGAATGGTATTCTGTGTTCTCTGGCTTTTTGAAAACTGTTTTCCACAGAGAAGTAATTAAATGCTTTTAACAAATTAAATGGTAAAGGTTAATTACAGAGGTGTAACATCTCTGCTTTTGTCAAAAGTCAGCTGACAGCACAGCTTCCTGGCGTCCTGCAGGCAGTGGTTGGTATAGTCCTGCAGATAGTATTAATTTATTTTTCTGTAAAATAAAGATAAAGGCTATAGCCGAGTGAGGGGAAGAAGGTGCTCCACTTGTCGACCATTCTTTGCCCAAGACTAAGCCCTGAGGTACAGTAATGTGGTATGACTTAAATCACTGTGCTTTCCAATTGGTAGAATATAGTTGTTTCCCTGTGAATGAAGGCTGGATTGTGTTATTTAGAAAGAGTAAGTGGTGTTTCCAAATGAGTTCCAATCTGCAGGTTCTATTCTGTTCTGTTATCTCATTGCCTATTTGTCAAATTGCTTGCCATCAAGAACAGCATTTGGCTCTGAGATTGCTGGCCTCACTCTGAATTTCACTCATTTACTCGGTATTGCTGTTCTTTGTGGGGAAAAACTCACATGGAATTGGTGGGCTTTTCTGTTATTTTGTGGATTTTTTTCCCCATATCCTTCCATCAGCTGTTTACAAAAACTAATAATTTGAAAATAATAATATTCTGCCTGAATTTCCAAGGCTAAGAGCAAACACTTTAAAAATTATTCTTCCACAGTCTTTGGGCAACATATATGTTCCTAAAGAGCATATCGTGAAGGTACTCTGGAGGATATGAGTGGCCAGTACCACTGAAGCAATTACCTTAAAATTTGAGGTTTTTTTCAGTATGCTGTTTGGTTTGTTGTTTTCCTCAGTGTGCAGCTGAAGAGCTCTCTCCTGATTCTGACATGATAATTTTTCCTGCCTCCTAGTAACGAAGACTGTGTGTGCAGAGCAGTGTGATGGACGGTGCTATGGGCCCTACGTCAGCGACTGCTGCCACCGGGAATGTGCTGGAGGTTGTTCCGGACCTAAAGACACTGATTGCTTTGTATGTGTGAGACTTCTCATTTTTCTTCTTCCTGGCAGTCACACTGCAAATTCTTAATGCTTTAATCCATGAAATTCACCATTTTGTCCCATTTAATGTATTGCATGCAAACTCCTAGATTTAGACTGCAAATTTTAGCTTTTAATATTTTTCACATCATATTAACATCACTTATCTACTTAATATTACCCATTAACAGATTTATGAAATTTGTAAATACAGATTGGGAACCATCAATATGCTAATCTCTGTGATTTTTATCTTTTGCTTTTCTAAAATTAACTTTTAGAGGCGATAGGGAATTTTTAGAAGTATTTATCATTACATTTGAGCATGGCCTTTTATTACTGCTCTGTGTGCTTTTTACCTGAAAGTCAAGAATACAATTTAGCTTCTCTGTGAAAGGTGTTCCGTATTACTGCCAGACTTGATTTAAATTCAGCCTTTTTACTGGGCATGCTTCTTAGGGGAGATGGAAGGAAAGTGGTTTCCAAAATACTCTACCTCAAATGTATGCTGCTTAAGATGAAAAAAGAAAAAGTCCTAAAGTTCCTAAAAAAAAAAAAAAAAAAAGACAATCTGAGCATTCTGGCCTTTAGATAAATTTGTTTTGTTTGTAGTCTATTACTTATAATGGTGTAAGCAGCTTCAGAACCCAACACTGATCTCAAAAAATGTGTAGCTCATAACACTGGGTTGCAGAGACAAATTTTGTTAATGTTTTCAGGGGAAGCAAACCTAGACCTAAAGAAGCCTAGAACTAGAGCATGCACAGAGAGGTGCATTTTCAAAGGTACCCAAGCGTTTGATTAGATGAATATCTACAAAGTTCGGTAGGCTTCTTTTAAAATCTGCCAGATAGGATTGAGAGGAGGAATCTTATGGTATGTTAAATTGCAGATTTCCTGCAGTGCAGGCAAGTGGATCATAATGAACAGACAAAAAATGAATCTTTCCCTAACTGGACCTGAAACTTGCTCACTGTTCAGGTATCATTTGATGGAAGTAGGTGATGTGCTTCAGAAACGCATTCTAAATGCTATTCTTTTGCTGCTGCTGAAATGCAGTGATGGCCTGACTTAACTGCTAACAGGTTTTGCTAAAGCTGTTCTTTGTGGCTGGGGCTTTGCACAAGCAGATATTCAGCACATGTGGTACACCTAATCAAGCACTCACTGGAAGTTCTGTGTTAGCTTTGGACTAGAGAGATGGGAGAATAACATTCTTTCCCATGTCATATACAATCTAAGTAGCTAAAGGAAAGGGAAAACATGCCGTTACTATTCTCATATGACTGTTGAGGAACATCCTCAAAGCCGATGTGTTGATGTCCGTTTTCAAAGGTTAAAGACAAGTTAATTGCAGCCTAAGTTCTGTAGTACTGCAGCCTGAAAGAAGATGAGTTAGACTTTCTGAATTGCAGCAGTTATGGAAATATGTATGCTAAAAATCAACCAGTCTGTTTGTTCTTATCCAGCAGAGAAGCACCCAGGGCTTTATTCTCATTTACTCCTGGGCCAAGAGCAATGTAAAAGAAATTCAGCAGGGGTCTGGCAATTTTCAAGGCTAGTCATTACTTGCTTAGTACATACTGGGTGAAAAGTGTAACCCTTTAGGCTATAGACAACTGTGTTTAGCTTTCAGCTGAGATACAGAACTTTGTTTTTTTCCTTGTGTATTTTCCAATGCTTTCATTCACAAATTAGCAACATTTAGCACCAAATGCTAGAAGTTTGCATATATTATAGAAGCAATTACAAATGTATACAAAGCATTATAGTCATAAATTAAAAGTTCCCAAATCTTCTAGATGAGCTTTTCCTGAGAAGTGCCATCTCCCTGAAGAGTTGTGTGCTTTACTTTGTGAATTTACTAAACACTTATCGGAGGACTGTCTGATACAGTATCTTTTAAGTCAACAGCAGATGTAAAAAAATGTGTTGAGGAAGCAAACTAAATTAGTATTTATTAATAAGCAAAAGTCCAGTTTATGAAGCATTACAAATCCTTTAGCATGTTATGGCAGCTTGCAACAGCATCCTGTTGTAAATATGGTTTTAATATTTCTAGATAAAATTCATCCATCCTCCTCCATATGCTGCCATACAATCATTTGCGTATTCAGTTCTAAAAGAAAGACAATAATCATCATCTGACATAACTGCAAGCAAAAGTGGTAAAACAAAGTTTTAGAGATGTTTTTAACTTGCATTCAAAGCCAAACTCGATCTAAAACTTGAAATGCATAGGAGGGCCTGGTTGAGTACCCAGCAGAATCAGAAAAGTGACACAATCAATTCACAGGGTGGACTTCCCATCTAGTTCTTAGTAAAGAAGTAACTGACTATATTTATCTTTGTAAGAAAAAAGTAAATCTGGTTCTATGAGAAACTGACAGGTTTTGTACTACTCGCTTTAGAGAAACAGAGAAGACAGGAAAGGCAGTTTGGCTTAGCTCATGCTCCATACGTGGAGGACAGTGGCTTCACCCTGGAACTCCCTATTGATCCCTTTCAGCAGCAGATTTTGTCCTTCTCCGTCGGTTACATTATTAGCCTCTCCCTTCTGAAATCTTCTGACGTGACAAGTAACCTCCCTCAGTCCTGCTGGTCCTGGTCTGAATGAAGATAAGGACTATTAGTAAAAGCAGCAGAACGGAGGAAAATCTTTCACTTTTCTCTCAGTCCCAACCCTGCAGGGGAGGGGACACCACATACATCTTGGTATACTTGTTGACTCTTCAAAACATTCAAAATTGTCTCTAGTTTTTACAACCTGGAAAAGGACCAGAAGGATTCATCCCTAGACTAAAATTTCTAAAGCAACCTGGCTTCTGGACAACAGGTTAGTGGGGAAGCAGAATCCTGTAGCAGTGGTTGCTTAAACTACTAGAGGGATCCAAGCCAGGCTACAGCTTTCATGTTCATATGGAATTTGACATTTTTGGTATGCTCTGTGAATATTACTCCAACCGTCATTTATAAGCTGTGGTTAAAACCAGACACAATATGCGGTGACAAGGAATGTCAAAATCGGTGGGGTTTTTCTATTACTAATTATCAACTTTGCATGGTCAATTATTTTCCATGTGTACCATTACTTTATCCACACACTTGCCTCTTCATTTTTCAGGGCCCTGTCCTCTGTCAGCTGTGGGTGGCTGAGCTTGAATGCTAAGTGATACAAAGTCCTATTTTCTTCTCTCCGTGTGTGAAGCCACTGACCTTGTTAAACTTGCCACTTAGGGAAATGACCCCCTCCTGTGCTAGCTCAAAAGAAGTTCTTATCCCTCATGCTTTCTAATTGAGAATTTTAGTTTTCAGCTGGAGGATGGACTCATGCTGTAAGAAATCTAAAGGTTGGAGCTCTGAAGGATTTATTAGCATTTGTTCAGACTGACTATGATAAATAGCTGTGCATTCTTGGCAGTTTTAGAATGTCCTAACGAGTTGTGAATTAGTTAATTGCTCGTAGTAACAATAGTGATGAAGCAAATTATAGTGTTGTTATGTTTCTGTAGGAAGTATTGTAACAATCAACTGTGTTTCGAATTAAAGGGGCTCAGTGAGCCCCCTTTTATAAGTCATGTATTTGCCAAGATCCTAGCAAGGAATCTAAGTAGCCATAATGAAGGTTAGAAAACTATATATCACATTCCTCACTGTCACAGTGAGTCTGAACAGTCAAGACCATATTATAAACTAAAAAAACCCCGACAGCATTTCTGTGATTGAATTTAATATTTTTTTCTCCCTTGTTTTGCAGGCCTGTATGAATTTCAATGACAGTGGTGCGTGTGTCACACAGTGTCCCCAGACTTTTGTATACAATCCTACCACCTTCCAACTCGAGCATAATCACAATGCCAAGTACACCTATGGGGCTTTTTGCGTCAAAAAGTGCCCACGTAAGTGCTGTGTTAGCTGCCTTTTCCTGCAGTGATGGAAAGTTTGAGTTGCGTTTCAGGAGCCTTACAAAACAATGAGAGAATGAAAGCTAAGTGCATAGTGCAGTGTCTCAAATCACTCCTCATGTGCTTGCAGCCTCTAATAACTCAACAGTGTGTTAACTAAAGGCAGTGACATTCCAGGCTGTTGACACTTCCCAAGTGTCCTATAGTGATTTTCTTAAAGAAGGGGAATTCGCTCGGTTCCTGTTTTCATGACCACCACTTGTTAATATTCATGCTTTAGATCAGCATTTGTAAATTTCAAAATGAATGGTGAAAATAGTTAGTGGGATTGTAAAAGGGTATAAATTTCTGTTTCAGAAACCTAACAGTCCATCACCAGTACTACCTGGCACCATATGGTTTCATGATATTGATGCCCTTTTCTTAACTTGGTATAATGATGGTTTGACAGAAAGTTACCCTAAATATTTCTGAGCAGTTCTGTCCCAGTGAGGAAAACCCATGCAATACTGACAATACAGTATTAAAACTCCAGCATAAAATTAGAGGGGAAGAGGGAGTTAAAAAAAGAATAGTCCCATGCATTAAAAGAACATACCAGACAGATGATGACAAGTAACAGAAAAATTTGGAAGGTCATGACATACATAGTCTTTAATACTGCTGTTTTAGTTAGAAAAATAGTGGAGACAGTATTCTTGGTCTCCCTTTCATTCCCACCAAGGTTTACAGTTGTGTTGTGCATTAATTGTTTTATCCATAAATTGCATCTAAGAAGGATGGGTAATTATAATAAATGGAACCATGATTCAACCCAAAACAAAATCCAAATTTTGCGTCTCTGTGGGGAAGTTCAGACTTGACAGTAGGCTGAGCCTGTGCCTGTCAAGGTTTAGTTATGTCTGTAATAGAGTGGTGGGTTTTTTGAAGCAAGATAATTTTTTTTTAATCTGGTATACCATGCACTACTTAAGGGATATGATGCTTTGTTCAAATACTTAATTGAACTTTTTTTCCTTTTTTTTTTTGCCTTTATTGACAGTATTAAGCTCTCAATTAGGTAGGATCAGTCTGTATTCCCTTTGGCAGTGGTTTTACAAAGCAAAATTGAAATACTTGTCATTGTTTTCTGCAGTGTTTTATCCCAGATGTATGTATTTGTGTGTGTATGAAAGAGAAAGGGCAGAGCATCTTGTTTTATTTCTCTCCCATTACTGTACTTTTTTTACTACAAATAATAATAAAATCAAATTGGCTGAGGAGGGGGAATCAGGCCTGATAATTCATGGATTTTTCTAACTCCCCAAAAATGTGCCTAATTTGCTTGCTTACACACTTCTGAAAACACTGAACATTAAATCTTAATGTCAGTGTGGAGGTACTGAGCTAATGAACAACATATATTGACACAGAGTCCAGAAATGTGTCTCAGTATTATTTAGTCCAGCGGTTTGCTTTCTGTCAATATCTTCTTTTTTCAGACAACTTTGTGGTAGATTCCAGCTCTTGTGTCCGTGCATGTCCAAGCTCCAAGATGGAGGTTGAAGAAAATGGTATTAAGATGTGCAAGCCCTGCACTGACATTTGTCCTAAAGGTAGGCAGTAGTTTAGTATAAATTTTCCTGAATGTAGTCTGTGCTGTAGTAAAGCAGAGCAGGCTGTTATTTTGGCATGAAATACTCTTCATGATTATGTTGTAGAATATTAATAGCTTTTGGATACCCACAGAACTTTGAGCTGTGTAGGCTGTGTGTGAAGTGTATATAATAGAATTAAAATTTATTAAGTTCTAATGGTCATGTAACCAATTACTTTTGATTAGATGAAAATGAAGGGGATTTCTCTGTTGGTTTTAGAGAAATTTGAAAGAATTATTTTTTACGTTATTTTAATGACAAGTATTTCCTGGAGGTATTTTAGAGCTGTCTTTTTGTTATTCCAAAGGGGACTGTGCTAAAGCCCTGGCTTCAATGTATGGTATGTCTCATACTTGTCAATACAATGTTAGGTTTCCATTTATTTCCTCTTTTTTTTTAAAAAAATATGCCTCTGTTTTTCCAGACTCTACCCCCTTTCTAAGTGTCTAAAACATAGACTAGAAGTTTCTCAGTGATGGTGCTGTTGAGAAGACTGAAATCCGAAGGTTACTTTGCCACCCCAAGCTCCTCTAGGGAGGCTTTCTGCTCCCTTCTTGAATGGCTCTGGAGCAAAGCACCATCAGTTTTCCCAACTGGGCCTATGCCACTTCTTAGTCCTAGTGGAAGCTGTATCTGGGAACGAATTCACAAGAATTATTTCTACATCCTTTCTAAAGGACCTTATGGCATGTGAAGGGTTAAGTTCACAAATCCACCAGGGCAAAGGGGGCCTCTGGAGCTAGCAGTGTTAGGACCCCTTAGTTTCTGCAGTGAGTAGTGCACAAATAAATGCCATGTCCACTGGGCTAGTCTGAGCTAAGTTATTAACTATCTGTTTACAGCTGGCTTGCATGGGATTTAGTATGGTTCATACTTGCCTTTAGATCCAGTATGAAATACCTTAACCTATGTGCCAGGATGTCCTTCTGTAGCAGGTACTATAGCTTATTGTTTGTTTTAAGTTGGCAGTGCTTCTTTAGGAATATGAGTAATGTAATGCGTACTGTTTTAATACCTCTCTGCTGCTTTATCTCTGAAAGAAATGAAGACTTGTGTCGAGAAGGCCAACATGTTCCGATTCAGTAATTGTCTTTCCTAGTTCTTTATGCAAACTCCTTGTTTTGACAGCATGTGACGGCATTGGAACAGGGAGTTTAGTGTCAGCTCAGACGGTGGATTCCAGCAACATTGACAAGTTCATAAACTGTACCAAGATCAATGGCAACCTTATCTTCCTTGTTACTGGGATTCATGGGTAAGTGACAAAATGTTAAGACGGTGGTGCCAGCTGAGACAAATTACATCCACCTCTTAATGATGGCCACAGGTTTCTTTTATGGAATAGCAGATACAGGATAAATTTGTTTTCTGCCTTCCATTATGAACGAAACTGTTACCTTGATTCTTAGGATTCAATCTTCAGGAAAAGAAAGGAACAAGTAGACTGTTTGCACTAGAAAGAGAAAAAACAACTGTAATCTGTGGTTACTTTATGAGATCCTTGGTACTGGCTTACAATAATGGTTGATTAGAGAATAGAAAGGAGAAAGGGAAGTTACCTTCCATCAGTTTGTTTTAAATGGGGTATGACCAGCAGTCTGATGTGCAGAAAAGCACAAACTGTCATAGCTCAGGTGGGTGTCACTGCATACACATGCAAAAAAGCTGCCCTATTCCCAATCAGTTTTGAAGTATATATTCAAGTTTCAATTGCAGAGATACACAAAGCTCACTGGTAATTAATTCAGTATGTTGTTTTCAATATGGCCTTATATTGAATAAGTCTTAGTAGTGGTTGAAGATGTGGAGGTACAGAACCAGTATTTAAAAATCTCCCCAGTGTCTCTTCCTAAATGAAGATACACCGGCCAGATAACTAGTGCCTTGCTGTTTGTAGCTTGGTGCACTATGTGTTTGCCGTGGTAGCAAGGGTGAATGAGTGGTGCAAATGCTGCGAGGGTGGGATGTGGCCAGGAAAGACAGGCGTACTCTGGTTTGATGGCCAGGGGAGGTCCAATGCAACTAGACGCTTTCCTGCATTGTGTTCTTTCCATCACTGAGAGAACAAAAATATGATTGTACCTTCTTACTAATTCAAGCCTTCATGTTCTAATCAGCCATGGTGAATTACATGTGACACTTTGAGGTATTTCTGGACATACTAAATGAGCAAAATCCTCAAAATGCACAAATAAGATTAAGCCCTTTCGCCCCTTTGTTGCAATAAGTATGCAGATATTTTGAGGTACATTAACAGTGTTACAGTACTCAATTGCTTCTAGCACTGCATAGGCTTCAAATTTTAACTTGCTTTTTAGGTTCCTCGGAGCTTTCAACATTTCTTGCAACTGATTGTCAAGATTAGATATCTTAAATACAGTTCCCAAACCAACTCCATGTTTACAGCTTTATGGCATAGAGAAAATGTGATTAACTGAATGTCTGCAGATTGATCTGAAATGGAATTCTGGCATGAATAGTGCCAGCATATTTTTCTTTAGTCTTTCTATAGATTTGGATATATTTAGATTCTAATAAAGTGGTTGACACCAACCTGCCTGGCTCAAGTTTCCTTACTAGGTGAGGTGGAAAGAAACAACTTGTTTCCTTGATTTGATATAGGGATTGGTTGTAGTGCTCCACCTACAACTTGACTCCAGCCATGAGAAAGACAGTTGAAAATCCATTTCACTGGGGCCCTAGAGCTTAGTGATTCTCAAAAGGCCACCAAATATGAGCTCTGACTGTGTAGTTGGTCTTCTCATCTCTCCAGCAGGGAGTACAGTGTGAAAGGTTAATGTAGCATAGGGAGGAAGACTTTGGTTCAAGTGGTTTAAGGAAATGCTGCTATGAACTTGTTGAAACCCTAGAGAGGGTCACACAGGAGTCAGCACCCAGGGCATCACACTTTTTGATCTGACAAAGTGACCGACCAAGAGCCTGGGTGTAAATCTGTTAGGTGTTCCAGGACCGGAAGTACTCTAGTAAGTGCAAGACAAGCGGCTAGAGGACGTGAGCAATTTTGTGTGGATTATTCCAATGCATTACGTGAAATGTAATTTTGAGTATTAGAACTGCTTTTGTTGCAGACATTATATTAACTGCAGAGTTAGAAGATGAGTCTCATTTAAAAATCTGCCTAAATGAACCAAAACCACCCTTGAAAAAAACTGTATGAATCTGAAAAATATCTAAATTATGGACAATAAAGCAGAGGGTTAAAATATTTTGTTCTATTTTAATAGAATAGTATAAACCTAGGACATGTAATGACATGTTGAAACTGTGTGGCACTTTGTCTCTCATTCTTTATGAAGAAAACTCACTCCAAGAAGTGTGAGGACACTGAGTTCTGCAACCCTTAATTTTTCTATAGAATAAACTACAGTAGTATATATTAAAACACAAGAAGAAGATTTGAGAATTAATTAAAATAACTTTTGTATTTCTGGAACAGCTTTTTCTTTAAAATTTCTGTCACATTTTGCAAATCAATAACACAGGAAATTTATAAAATTACACTAGCTACAAAAGCAGTTTATATAAATGGACAGTATAGAGCAAAACCAATAATAAATATTTCAACTCCATCTTTTAGTTAATTCCTGTTACAATTCATTTACTCAGAGTAAACTGCACCTTTAAAAGTATGAATTTTCAGTGTTTCAGATTGTAGGGACTTAAAATCAAGCTCTTTGTGGGGAATTGAAAGATTTTTTCGTAGTAGCAGAGAATAACTTCAGTAAAAAGGTGCTGGGTTTGTTTTTATTGGAATCTGTGCTATTACAGTTGATCCTGTCATATTTTTGATCCTGTGATTCTGTAGCCTGCCCTTCCCTGTCCTCAATACTTGAACTTCAAGTCTGTGTGAATTTGTAATAATTGATATTAAAACTATATATATAATTGTGAATTGGGTTTATGAACAGTTATTTATGGTTGTTTGTATGTAAGTTAGATAATTATGAATCGGCTTTAATTAGTGTCCAGAAGCTAAGTGGGATGAAGGTAGACCTAAATGTTGGTGAGTCAGTAGTACTGATTCGTCTAAGGTAATGGTGTGCTGAAGTGTATGGATAAAGTGGTCTTCGTTAGGATACGTATCTGCTGCCTGAGGCAGAGACAGAAAGCACGTCGGCTGAAAAATTGTTAGGACCTGTATAGGTCAAATGCAGCCTTCTCTCTCTGCTGTTTTCTTCTGCTTGGGGTGCTAAAAAGCCAAGCTGCCTTCTGCTGGTGTTGCCTCTGAAGGGGTGGGATATACCAAGGAGAGATGTAGCTTAAGTATGGACAGTCCCAGCTAGCAGCAAATGCTGCCTCCTTCTTCCCCTCCAACTTGCAGCAGGGGCAACAAGCCTTCAGTGCTCACCAGCTTTTTCTCTTCGCTTGAGTTGTCCATCTCCAGTTTCACAATGAGCTGAAACTCTCATCCCTGGAGCTGTAAAATTCAGATGTGCCTGTTCTACTGAAAAATCCTGGTTCTGCCAATAAGAATGGTAGATGACAACTGCATTATTCTACAGTTTTATATGTTGATAAAACATATCGGACACTTGGCTGTTTAAGGGGTTTAAATGTGTATTTGTATCTTTAAAGACTACTTTATCTTAGGATTGGGAGGTGAGATTCAGCAACCTCATGTTTACTACAGGCAAGGGTTTTCCTTTTTTAGTAGTAACGCATTTTAAAAGCAAAGTGCAGTGCTTCAGTTAGGTAGTCAAAACTTGTTACCGAGTTTTCTGAGAGCCCCAGATTGTTAAAATTAAGTGTATATGATGCTTCTGTGGTCCACTGGGCTTTATGTTAAGGTTCAATAAATCATTTTATTGCTGTTAACCTGGTGTCACCTCCAGGATGGTTAGAAGTGACCCCATCAGTCTGTCACCGCATAGATTTGTGAGGACTAGTTGATCACCTGCAGAATGATGTCTCTTGGAAAGCAGAAGGAGGAGTGGAAATGCATGGTCTGCATTTACAGAGGGTGTTTCCTACCCTCTCAAAAATACCGTAACATGACATTACAGAAGGATTTTTAAAGTATTTTTGTTTGGGTTAGGCATCTAGGTGGCTTTTTAATAGTTGGAGAGTCTTTTACTCCTTTAAGGGGGGGGAGTATTTACTAAATGATAGCACTCTCAAAATCAAAATTAACTTCATCTTTTTACACTGTAGTATTTCCAAATTTGAAATTTCAATGTTTGGTGGGGGTGTTTCATTTTTCAGGTGACAGACTTCCTCGGAGAGGATCTGTGCTTTTTGATGTTCCCTGTTCAACACCACCTAAAAAGTGTACCCTTTTAATGCCAAGTGTCAGGAACTGCTGGCATGCTCTTAGTTTTGATTTGCATATAGCTTGTCCCTTGTTTCAGCAGCAATTTTGTTAGTCCCAGTTGTACAGTATCACAACTGTACCATTTGAGCTAATATTCCTGGGAAAAATGTTGAAAATTCTTCTTTCTTTTAGGGAGGTCAACCATGGTTGTTAAAAATCCCTTGATTTTCCATGAGCATAAATATTTGCTCAGACATTATTGATTGGAACCTTAAAGATGCTAAGCACCATTATTTTCCTTCAAGATGACTTGGGAGAAGTTAGAGGTTCTTCAGGAACAACAGTCTGAAGAAATTAGAAACATTCTGAAGAAATCTGGAGCATATGCTGCCTAAAAGAAAAGTGTTGACTTCCTGAATATGGCTTTCTATATGGTATATCTTTTGAGAACCTCATATTTTTTTAATTCAGAGTATCACATTTTGTCCTTTCAATCTTTCAGGGACCCATATCATACAATTGCCGCCATCAATCCTGAGAAATTAAATATCTTCCAAACTGTGAGAGAGATAACAGGTAATACACTTCCGATTTCCTATAATCTGAACTTCTCATTTTGCGTTGACGGTTGACATTTGTTGGGTTTTCTGAAGAACACAAAGTGTTTTTTTCTTTAAACTCAAGGCACAGTAAACTTCATAAAAGTTTAATACACAACATCTTCAGTATCAGTTGATGTTCACAAGTGTGTTGTCCTTTGCTCATGAATACAGAATGCCCATTAGGTTTGGAGTACATGAGCATCAGAAGACCTTACTGTTGAGTGGGCAGGGAGCCTTGGTCTTCACTTGAAAGCATTTGAAATATGTCTTGGCAAAAGCCAAACAATTCATTCTGGTTGTGCAGCTACTTCTCCTATTCTAACAGCAGATGTTGCTCCAAATTAGCCTCTGTAATTTAAAGACAAATGTATGAAGTGTGGGGAGGTAGTCCCTCCCACCTTTTGTGACTTTTCAGTGTGGTCATATAGCTAGAACTCAGTACTCTGTTTTCCTGCATCTTGCTTCTTCTTTCACCTTTCGGGGGCAGGGAGGAAGGTACTGCAGCTTTGAGTTCTTGATGGATTGCTGAATATGTATAGATAGAATTTTATTTAATTTTTTTCCTATTTCATGCACACAAAAAAAATCTTTGGACGCTACAGCATGATTGTAGCTGGCTATAGCTCAACAAGTGTTTGGCATTTGAAATGAGTTCTCTCCCATGTGCTTCACCTCTCAAAAGTTGTGTATTTCAGCACGCCAGTGGTATTAAAATACAAAAGCAAGCTCTGAATCTTTCTCTAATTAATGTCAAAGATAGTCTGGCATCTGGGTGTCTGTAATTTGCCATTCTTAAGCACACTGTCTAATTGACTGTCTCAGCTCTAGTACTTAAGTGGAATTACCCCTATGCTTAAAGACGTACTGCATTTCAGTCGAGTAGTGAACCAAACTCATGAGGAATTGCACTCTGCAGAGGTCTGTGTAACACAAAATAAGCAGACCCACATGCTTGTGCAGAGAATTGTCTCTGATGAACAGTCCTCACAGAGACTCCGAGTCGAACACAAGTTCTTTGCTTTAGGAAAGTCTTGTCATCTTCTAATGAATCATGATGGATCTCTCAACTTCTGCCCTAAGTCTCAAGCAGATTTTAAAATGGAATATTCTTAATTCAGGCAAATCTTCATTGTTTCTGCAGCTACTGTTTAGAAAAGGCTGGGAGGCCTTGCAAAGTTCCAGCCTGTGTTTAGGTTCACCTTCACTGTGGCTGTTGAAAGTGGATGTAATGCTGCTGAGATGAGTCCTCTTTTGCTTTCTTGGAGAAGACAGTGGTGAGCAGCCTGATTAATTCAAAGACATTAATCTGCAGCATTCATTACCTATTTATTTTTTTTTCCTCAGATCAGCACTGTCTTTCATTTATAGGCTAGGCCTGCCCTAACTCACATATGTGATAAAGCAATCTTTATGGCTAGAATCATTGACATTCATGTGTTTGCCTTTTTCTCCTTCAGGATATTTGAATATACAGTCGTGGCCTGAGAATATGACAGATTTCAGGGTGTTTTCTAACTTGGTTACTATTGGTGGAAGAGCTCTCTATAGGTAAGCTGCTTCCTCTGTTGATGGAATTGGTTTTTATTAGTATTCAGTGACTTTTTTGTTCGGTAGCACAGAATGCAACATCCTTTGGGAAGGGCATCATAAACTGATATATTTTTCACTGTTACCAAGGTATTCCTTAACAGTATCTTTGCTAGTCAGTTGTTTATAATGGCTAATAACTTTTGAACATAATGATTTTTAAAAACCCCACCAAAAACAAACGTCTTGGTTCATTGCTGTAGCTATTAACTCATTGTCCAGAAAGTACTATGGTATAAAATACCTTGTGAATGTGAAACATAACTTAAAAGACATTAATGGAAGAACTTAGCCCCATTACCAGGAAGTTTGTGTGGTTGAGATTGGAAGTGCAGTCTCATGTGCCCAAAGAACAATGTGGTCTTAAGAAGTGTTAAAAGATAAATGCATGGAAGAACACTGAGGTACCTTACAGGTGGGGTGTACATTAGTGCCATTTTTACCAGAGACATTTCTGTATGAAAGCTCAGATGGAGGAATTGGTTTGAAGAGACGAAAATGTGAGAAATAATAGGGGAAGCACCAGAAGGTACCTGAATGATCAATACAGCAACCCCTGGTCCCCCATTGTGTAAATGTAGTAAATTAGTCATGGGATTCTGCTGTCATCTTAAACACCAATCCAAGCAGAATATGAATAGGAGTGAAACCTTGAGATTGAATTAGAGCCCAGCATTCTGTTTGGAAGCAGTAATTTGTATTTGGAACAGCTGGAAAACAATTAAAATCATTAAAATACAATGACTTAAAGGATGCCCAGAAACTGGATATTGTCTTCACTAATCTTCAGTCGTAAATACGTGCAGTCATTTCTGTGTTACACAGACAATCATTTACCGTTCCTTTGATGAAGAAAGGCGATAACCACATATTACAACAAAAGAAAAATTAAATGTAGAAAAATGGGCTGGAAAAATTTCCCTGAAAATAACAAAAACATTAATTTGATGCCTGACAGAAGATGTTAATACATTTGCAGTTTCTCCTTAGCATAAACTATCAGAGTATGAATTCTGTTGAAAAAAACCTGGATTTTATTCAGTTTTCACAACAGCAATTTATCTCAAAAAAAAATGTTAATGGATGAAATGGAACTAGTTGTGTTCTCCTGGCCCACATGGCCTAGCATTGCGAGTGTCACAGCTTGTGGTATCACAATTCTTACAGGACTCATAATTTTCTAAGCAGTAGAACTGTATGTTGACTCAAAAAATATCTGTGTCACCCCAAAATAAAAGTTTTCTGACTAAAGTTGAGTTTTGCCAGAAAGATCATCTTGACATTAGGAACTAATTCTGGGAAATTCCCAACCAGTTCTAATGAGTTCCACCTTCTGAAGCTAATTCCTCTTCTCTCTTACTTTTGTTTTCATCACAGTGGCCTTTCCTTACTCATCCTAAAGCAACAAGGCATTACTTCTCTGCAGTTTCAGTCCTTGAAGCAAATCAGTGCTGGCAACATCTACATAACAGACAACAGCAATTTGTGTTACTACCACACTGTCAACTGGACGAGCCTCTTCAGCACACCAAGTCAAAAGACTGTGATTCATCGAAATAAAAAGGCAGAGAACTGCAGTAAGTACTGCTGCTTAGTGCAAATCTTGCTGTCTATGACTGGCTCCTCTGGGGAGGGAAAATGATACAATTACTGACAGGATACAGTGCAGTGAGGAGGCCAGAAGCTTGTCTGATGTCTCTTGAAGCTCCATGGACATCGGTGGAGCTGTGATCATTTACAGAAGCTAAGGATTTGGCCCAGTCTGCCTCTGAGCAGATTTCTAGGCAAATGAAATGTTTTAAGGTATGAACAAATGAAAGGGAGGAGAGAGCACTCCTTCCTTACCATGATGTGAACTTTCCAGATTAGAGAACCAGTTTCACAAATACGAATTCTGAAGACCATAAATGTGGAGTGAATGTAGTGTTCATAAAAGGCACTGATGTTAAAGATTCAGAAACTACAGCCCTTTCCTTATGGAGTGAGATTAGCATCTTTTGTTTCCCTTACCCTGCTTCACCAAAGTGGCTTTGTCTTAATCCAGAAAGGTCACTTTTGGAACTGGTTTTGGTCACTGAATTCCTCCTTTTTGTGTTTGATCTATCTGATAAAGAGGATTCCTTTTAATTGGGACTAAGTGTCTTTCAGGAAATCTTACATGCCAATAACTGGACTGAGCTCATAGTACTGAAAAGCAGATGAATGCTATGTAGCAGATGAAACAATTTGGTTATACAGAAATCAGGCAGCAAATTGCATTAATACAATCGTCTTGTAACAGCAATATAGTTCATTTTAAGCATCTGTTAGACTGCTAGCAAGAGAGGAGATTCATTAAATTGCTGTATGTTTAAGTGATATTTCTTGGGTTTGCGTTTTGGCCAGCCGGAAATGCTTGCCTTGGGGTTTTTCAGGCTGTGGTCCTCTTTTAACTTATTCTTTTAGCTTGTGAGGGGTTTTTTTCCCTTTTTTTTTTTCTACCCTCCAGTTGCAGTACTATTCTGCTATGCATTGAGTTTGTGACTGTTGTCATCACTGTAGTATGAGTGAAACACAACTATACATCTATCACGGCTGCTCAGTTATTTTTCTAATCTGCCATGTAAGAGCTACATGAAATGGGAAGTCTTGTTTGGGTGGTCCCTGCATGGTTTTGTTGGTTTGGGTTTTATTATTATTATTACTATGCTATTTCTCTACAGAAAAGTTTAAAAAGTGAAGGTTAAAAAAATGCTTCTTGCTGTTGATGTAGATATAGTTTAATTGTGATAATGCCTGAAGGTGTAGAGAGAACGGGTTGTTTCTTAACCTGCAGCAGACTGCTGTCCACTTTCAAACTGTGGCATACTTCATTCTTTGACATAAACTTTCTGTTATGTGAGACAGAAGAATGTGTTGAACTGAACTTTTCATGGTAGAAGTTTTCATGTATGTTTGCAAAAGATGTCCTTGGTGTAGGCTGTGAAACTATGGATTAGACCCTTATATGTGGTAGAACATCTTGTAGGAAGGCATTACAGAAGGTGGAGGAGAGATGCAGTGCCTGCTGCTGCTGCTATGATGAGGAAATGCACAAGAGTGGCCTGTATGTTGAACAGCATCATGCCCTGGTGTCCTTACTACTGTAAGCCAGCCAAGAGGTGACAAAAGCATGAGTAAATTATTTCAGGTGGTTTTCTGTGAGAGTGGCATAGCTCTCTCCGTCATCCAGAGATGATTGAACACGTGATGATCGTGTCATATGGAAATGAAGCACTGATGAAAAGTCCAAGAATAGTCCTGAATAATAAAATGAGTTAACCTGTTGCAGGACAGAGAAGGTTGTGGAGTCACTATTTTCAGCACAGCCAACTTCATCTTGTTCTGAATTAGCTCCAGTTGCTCAACATCCATGAGCTTTGTATCATCATTTTACTGGCTTCTCTTGTTTTTCATATTTTCCATCTCAAGGCTTTTTCTTTGCTTTGAGTTCTTCTGAGGGTGAATATTATTTGAACATTGAATAAGATAGGCCTTGCAAGGGAAAAACATGCATTTTCTGGCACCTTTGAAACTTGGAGGAAAGCTCCTGACTTCCCATGAATATCTAATACCTTCAGTCTTGCCAGCCTGGAGCATTTGTATATGTCTTGTAGTTCCAGTATGCAGTCTGTTCTTTCTGCCCCCTGTCCTGGTTCAGCTAGGATAGGGTTAAGTTTCCCCAGCAGGGAGGGGGAAGGGATCTCCAGCCGGGTTGAGGTCAGGTCCGGGGTGGCTTTGCTTGCAGAAAGCACACGCGGTGGGCTGTCTGTATCCATTGCGGTATTTCTCTGTATATCTTTTGTCTTGTTTACTGTTATTAGTTTGTTGTTATTATCACTATTGTTGTTGTTCAGATTGTTTCTTACACTGTTGTATTAAATTTCTCCTTATTTTAACCTGGGGTTTGTGCCCTACTTGTGTCTGAGGGTAGGGGAGGTACAACGGCAACATGGTATCTGGTCCCGGCAGGGCCTAAACCACTATACCCCACATAGAAAGCCAGCTATGAAAAACAGTATATTATTTGGCAAATAAAGGTGTTGCCAAGAAAGAGGATCACATCTGCCCAGGGATGGTGGGTTGCTAGTTGATTGTCCATGCAGTGGTTGGAGTTTAATAGGATCAAATGGTGAGGAGGAACCAAGTTCTGTGTTAGTAGTGTAGTAACAAGTATATTTTGTATGTCATGACAGGAAGAATTAGCCCTTTGAGATGTCACATAAGGAATTTATTGGTTTGGCACAACACAATCTATCTGAAGAAGCACAAGGTCTTGATGACCACTCAAGAATCACTAGGGTTATATTCCAAGACCCTAGTGTGGTCCCATCTTGCTGGAGATACATAAACCTGTGAAACTTCCAGAGAGCACAGGCTTCCTCTCTACCATATGAAAAACTGCTGACACTGGGAGAAAAATCTTGCTTTCAGTGCTCTTTGATGTTATCTAATGGCAGATTGGCTATAGCCAATGATAATGATGCATCGTTTAATGAAAGAACAACTAGGTCTCTTACATTCCTAGAGATTTAGTATAAAAATAAAATAAACAGTAATAAGTTTGAACATAGGCCTCATGTCTTACTGTGCTTTCTCTTTGCTTCAAGCTCTCTGAAACTTACAATATGTTAGAAGACAATGGAAAACCACCCAGCAGAGAACTCCATAAGGTGGATTTCCCTTCATGAAATAGCATCTCATTTGCTTCATCGGTTTGCACACAAAGGGAAAATGTAAACTTTATTTAACTTCTGGCTTGTTGAGGATTTGTTACAATAGAGACTCATTCTTTTCCTTAAAGAAAAATACTACTAAAGATATTTCCTGAAATATAACACCAAGGGAAATCTTTATGAGGAAAGCAAATCTCATTCATTTCATTTTAAGAAGTCACAATGTAAGCTACGGTACCCAGGGACTAGTTTTAGAAACGGATTCTAACCTGTGTTCATTACATGGACTATATATAATGAACTTAGGCTAGAGGCCAAGTTACTCTCATCAGAAGGCAGTACCTTAGCTGACTTCCTGAGTCCTAACAGGGAACAGTGGTTTTCTCTCTCTATGCATGTCTGTGTGAGTGAATTGATTAATGTTTGTGGCCTTTTGAGAGTCAGCATTAGATGAGAAGATCTATCCTGCTGCTTGAACTCTGCCTGTCAGTCAGCACCTCTCTGGGGTTAAATGGGTTCTGCTGCAGGTTAGATGTCTAACAAAAATCTTCACAATTACTTGGAGTAAGGCAGCACTGTTTCTTAGAGCCAGATGCATTCCTCCAGGATCCTCTGAAACATCTGTGATTTTCAGGATAGGCCAACAGCTGGGATTTAGGAGAGTTTTCTCTCAATCTTCCACTGGCTGAATGTTTGGGATCTGAGGGCAAGTCTCTAGGGTGTCCATTTCTGCCTTTCAGTTGTTTTGCCTGTTCTAGACCCTGATCCTGCAGATGCTTGGGCATATGCCCATGCGTCTCTGAGTGACAAATAAGACTAATCAGAATGGAGAAGGGAAATGCATAAGTAAATATTTGCAGGATCAGAACCATCCTCTGTGGTAGAAGTACTGTCTGTTTGCTTGCATGGTAACTAGCAGGGTGTGACTTGTTAATAAAAATATCCATTAAAGATTTTTTGCGCATCGTTTACAGTGAAGAAACCATGTTAATTATTACAGCCACTCCCAGGTACGTTTATTATTATTTCTTTGTATATTTTGAGTTGCTATCAGCTTGTTTTCATTCTCCTCACTACCTAGTGATTGTTAAGCAAGTTACAGCAAACATTTACAATCAACGTGAACCTTTTCTTAAAACTCATGTAAGAGCTTCCAAGATCTTCTAGCCAGCATCATATTTAAGTGACTTTTATGATATAAGGTGATGATATCTCTTCCATACCGTTTAATGCCGCGTTCAGCTGACTGTATAAGTCAGTGAGGAAATACTAAAAAATTGTTGAGGGAGTAAAATATTTGTGGAAAAGTTTGGTCTATATTAATGCTTCATCTTTGACATTATAGAGTTTGGCAGAACACTGCTTTGGGGTTTGGTTTGGGTTTTTTTTTCAATTAAGAAGATGAAGACAACAGACTTTAGCCAGTGAAAAATGCTACAAAATTATACAACACACAAAATATATGCTCCTGATACCCTCAGTTATTTCATCTCTCTGTTTCTGCCACTTCTTAACAATGTTAAAATAGTAACCAGATACTTCACTGCCTCTGAGATGGCTTTTCCAAATACTGGTTAAAAGCCCAAGGCAGACTTAACTTGTTTGTAGAATGTTGAAAATACAGGAGCAAAACGTATGTTTTTTGAATTTAAAAAAAATCCATAAACCCCACAATGGTGTGTTGCTTCGTGTTGTCTTTCTAATAATGTCCTGTGAGGGGCCAGAGAAGGATGGGTATCTGGGAGGAATGCGTTCTCTCCCTTCTCCACCTTCCCTACACACAGTCAGGGATAGAAATATTAGTGTCCAAGCTTGTGTACACAGGGAACATAAAAGAAGGTGGCACCTTTGACGCTGAGCGCCATGGAAAGGGTGGCAGTATG